GCCACCTTGTTCCTTGCCCTCAGGAAGCAGGATCTACAAGCTCAGCCAGTCCAGAGACTTCCTGGATTATCTCACAGGATCTAAGTTTAGTGAGCACTCAGTCTGGCTGGTCTGGCCCTGCCCTGGCCTGATGGGGAGCCACCTCCACCCCCAGCTGTGTTGGGCCGGACAGGAATGGCACCGGGCGCAGAGAGGAGGGGTTTCTCAGACTCTTTGGCACCCTGCATGGTGGCAGGGGCTACCCTGGGCTGTGGGGGAGCAGCGAGGGCAGGGCTGTGCCAGGAGGGAGGCCAAGCCAGGAGCTGTTGGCACACCACAGCACAGCACAGCATGGGCAGGGGAAGGCCCACACGGCTGCTCTGAAAGGCAAGGTGCTAACTGCTATACAAGTACAACTTGCTTAAAGGAACAAACACTGCCTAGGACTAAGAGCTTTTACTGAAGGGTGACCTGAAGACCTCTCTTAAATCAGCTATCAATGGCTGAGAACACCCCATGCAGACGACAAAACAATGGTAGATTTGTCATCAAAAAGCACCAGGCATGTAACCACGGCCACAAGTGCGGCTAACCAAAATCTAGTATAAAACCACTCCAAGTACATGTGACAAGAATGTATTGATGGGAAAATCACAAGTTGCATACATTTCCAATATGAACTCATTAGCTCACTCGATAGCATGAGTAAGGTGACTGGTTAGCAGAACTGTATTGTAACATACATAAAACCGTGCTGTCATCCCTACTGGGGTCCTCCATGAATCAGGCTGAGGCATCACTATGTGCACCCCTCGTCCCAGGGTTTCCTTCAGCTCCTCCAGAGCCAGCTCAGGGCTGCCAAAGAGAAAGTCCCCATCCAGGGTGATGGACGGGAGAGGTGGGGAGAAGGGCAAGGCAAGGCCCTTAAGCTTCCCACCCCAGTCCCACTTCCAGTGAGGTAGCCAGGCAGACATGTATCCAGCCTGGGTGAGGGCACAGGATACAGGAAAGGAATGAGGCGTGAGTGCTGGCAGTGCCAGGGAGCATCAGGCCTGGCTGTGAGAAGTCCCAGCTGGCATCCTGGGGGGAGCAGTGTGGCGCAGCGGAAGCGTGCTGGGCCCATAACCCAGAGGTCGATGGATCGAAACCATCCTCTGCTAATGGCATTTTTAATTTTTTTTTTCTTTCTTGGTTTTCCAGCAGCAGAGTAGCTACCTCTCCCTTGCATCTTTCCCAGCAAGCTTTAACATGCACTGCTCCTGCTCTCTGCGCACCCATGGCCATGGCCCTCCTGAGCTCCCACTCCCTTCTCTCTGCCACTCACCTTATTCTTCCATTGCCTTCTTAGCAGACAGCGCTCCCAAAGCGTCCCTCAGCGAGACAGACAGCTGCGTGTGGAGCAGCAGGCAGAGCTCCCCACACGAGGAAGTGGGTGTCCTGGGCACGCAGTTGTGTTTCTCCCTTCCAATCAGGCTGCTCAATCTCAACTTCCCAGCTGCCAGCAGGGACCTCCAGGAATCTGCTAGTGGGGAGGAGGACACGGCTGGAGTTAGTTTTGAATACACTGGTGTGATCAACTTGAGCACCAGGGCACTTTCTCCATCCTAGTCTGTTTGCTGCTGTGCCCACTCGCAGGGCCAGCCAGGAGCAGGGCTGAGAAGGTATTCCCAATGGGCTCATTGGTGGCAGTATATGGGTAGGTGTTGGGGTGGAACGTAGAGAAAGGAGTGAGCAACGGGGTGGGTGAGCATCTGTGCTTCTACCAACACAGGTACATACACATGACCACACATACACTTGCATACTACATGCAGAACTGGCACGTGTTTGTCTGCAGATGGGGAGCAGCACCATTACCAGCACCCACAGAAGCACCAGCACCACTCACACAGGCATGGACAAGAGAGACGGTCTGATCCTTTTCTTTGCCCCCAGCTGCTTAGGGTTGGAGATCAGGGATGGACACAGATCCCCTCCCTCCCACATGCACAACAGTAGGTCCCTGGGATCCCTGCCCTTATCATAGCTCTGTGCAGCGTCCATGCCCAGAGCTCTGTCCCAGTTTCTCCAGTGTCATTCTCTAAACCTGGCCAGTCCCTGATGCTGATCTCTCCTAGCCAGTGGCTAGTGCAGCTTCAGGTTTCCTAGCCAACACCTGACAAACTCTGAAAACTCCCAGCGCCAACCACCTTGAGGTCATCTGTGAGTGCAGGCGGCTGGACAGTCTGGGAAGTAGAGGAGCAGGAGGCAACAGGGCACCAGGAGCCTTGGTGGTAGGTGGTAGAGCCGTAGATGCCTTCCAAGCAGTTGACCTGGGTTCCAGTCCTGGACAGCGTAGACAAATTTTTCTTCAGCTGGTCTCCACAAGTGCCTTGCCTCCCCTGCGCGAAAAATCCTACTTCACTCAGCAAACTCAGTTCCCATGGGGCAGTCGAGACACTACCCTCGACTCCCCCAGAGCCTTTCATCACAGAGAGGCCTGTGGACACAACCTAACCCAGAACACAAAAGCCTCCCTTGGCAAAAAGAGATGACAGAGACTGCTTTCACCATTCATAGATTCTCAGGGATTGATGAAGCACTGGAGCAGGTGCCCAGAGGCCTTTGGAAGTCTCTATGCCTGGGTATCACACTCAGGTTTCAGTGAGGCTCAGGCACTGCTCCGCCCGCCCTGGCTTTGGGGCCAGCCCTGCTTTGAGCAAGCATTTGGGCCAGTGATCTTCCAAGGTACCTTGCAGTCTAGAGACTGCCATGAAACAACAAGCCCCAGAGAGAGCTGTGCCCTCCTTCCTCTGCACCATGGGCAGTAAGGGAGCCTCTTGCCCACAGCAACTGGAGCTCAGTCATTGCTCTGCACTTGGCACATCTCCTGTCCTTTCTCCTTGACTCTCCAGCCCCTCTCCCACACAGCGACTCCTTGAGACCAGCACAGCATTGCCCCAGGGACTGGTGTGGCAGAGCCCTCTTTCACCAGCCTTCCCAGCTATGTGCAGGGAAGAAGGAAGCCCCCTTGATGCCCCAGGAAGTGTCCACGAGGCAGCACCCACAAAATCCTCTCTTCCTGCTCCCACTTTGCCCTCCAACAATCCTTCTGCTTGGAAGGCAGGCCATGGAGTCTGAGACTGCATACTTCTTCTTCAATAGGCTCACAACAGCAGAGCATTGCTTCTCCCTCTGGGTCATAAAATACCCCGAGGACAGTCATTTTACAGCTTCTCTGATTCTCTGTTCCCATCCATAGGCACCCTCAGGGTAATGATTTTTTTTCCTGTAGCCAGTTAGAAACTGCCTGGTCAATTTCTGACCACAGCTCTCATCGTCCAGCCACCACAGTAGCCTCCTTGTAGGCACTAGGAGGCTCCTATCAGATCCCTCCTAAGCATTTCCTTCTCCCTGCTAAGCAAGCCCTGTGTCCTCAGGCCTCCCTCACAAGGCCAGAGTCCCTGGCACCTGTCTAGCCTAGGGAACCTCCACGGAACTTGCTCCAATTTATCATCACTTTTACATAGTTCCCTACATGGACCTTCTTCCCCTTTTCTGGAAAAGAGGACAACTTTTCCTTCTCATTAGTCATCAGGGAGCTACCCTGCCCTCTGATCCCAAAGCTGAAGAGCCCCTGAGATGCATCCTTCTCTCTTTCAGATGCAGTGGCACAGACGGTAGGTGCCAATCCAGGACGTGGCATTGACTAGCAGGGTTTCAAGCCAGACAGTTTCCCTGAATTGGCAGTTCCTCACCTGCAAACACAACCAGCATCAGTGGGAAGAGGGGCAGGTGGGAGTAAAGGCCCACCAGTATGAGGCCAAGAGGGACATTGCAGGCTCTGGGGCCTTGTATTCAGGCTGAGGGGTGTCCTCCATGGCCTAGCATGCATTTCCATTTCGTCTCCCCTGACACTGGGGCATTTCTCTCCAACACTGCTGACAGGACAGAGAAACTCCATGCTGGTGCACGTTGTGATTTAGGGAGATGCTGAAGGAGCTGGGTTTGTTTAGCCTGGAGAGCAGAAGGTGAGGGGTCTTCCGCTGTGTGAAGGTGGCTCTCTGGCTTGCCAAGGCCTGCACTCTGCCAGAAAGACCTCGGGAGTGCAGGAGCTGGGGGTAGCCTGGCCTCCTGTGTGAGCCAGCCTGGCCTGAGCTGTATCTCCCAAGGGCTGTGGAGCTCTGGGAGATCTCTGCCTGCCCACTGAAGCCTCTAAGGGTGGCACAGATTGTCCTCCTCGCCGGATCCTGCAGGGAAGATTAGCATCAGAGGCTACATAGGTAGCAGCATTTACCATGGCCTTAGGGATGGAAACGGGCTGGGGAGCACGTTAGTCCCAGCAGGCAACGCTGTCAGGAAGGAAACCAAGGACAAAATGCCATGAAGCTGCCTGCACAGGCCCATACAACTGTTCATACAGAACCCCACCAGGATCCTTGAGTTCTGGGTGAGACCAGTGAGCCTCAGCAGAACCGCAGGAACATCCTCTGTTGCTTGGAGATCCACTGTCTGACCCCAGAAGAGACATGTCCCCTCCAATGGCATTACAGCAAATGTACAGAAAAAAGCTTTCCCTTTCCCTGAGCCACAGCCCCTGGAAGGGTGTTTCCTCCACCTTTTTACAAGGCCTTCAGACACTGGGCCCTGCTCTCGCTGGTCTCCTTCGGGACTTCTCTGGTCAGATATTGGACATCTCTGAAGATGGAGACTCTACAGTACTCCCTGGGCAAAGCTTTCCCATGTTTGGCCAGCCTCACGGTAAGACAGGACTCCTGTGTGTGGCACTACTTTTATTTCCACTCCTGTCCATTGATTCTTGATCTCTCCATTCTACGGACGCTTTTCTATCTCTCTTTTGCCAGCTTCTTTCATTTAGGTGCTCTTCTACAAGATCAGGGAGCTCCACCCACAACTGGTGGTGCCCCAAGATTGGCGACAGACTCACCGTCACTGCACAGAAAAGGTTCTCCCTTTCCCTTGCAGAGGACTTGGCCAAACGGCGAAGGAGCAGAAAAAAAAACAAGCCATAAGTCTCCAGCTATGATGCACAAAACCTTTAATGAGAAGGAGGAAATGCAGTGGCACAGAACAGAGACCAAGAAACACATCTGCAGGATTGAGGGACGCACAGAGGATGGCCCATTTCCCAAGGACAAGCTGCATACAAAGCGCTTGCCTTTTCCCATTCTGCTCTCCCTGCTGGCAACGGCAGCCCACCAAGAGCGATCCCTAACTCCAGCACCCTCTCCCCTTCAGCAGGGGGTTCAGCAAAGCAGAAGAGAATAAGACCTTTCCGAAGAGTTCAGAGCAAAGCAGAGCCAGAGGAGACATGGCCACACCAGCCGTGCAGCGAGGAGAAGTGGGCACAGGTCCGTCCTGCCAGGTGGCATGAGGACACCCAGCCTGTCTGTAAGACATGTCCATGACCTGCTGCTGCAGGGTCCCGTCTTCCGTCCTGCTCCCGAGGTGATGAGCCACCGGCTTCAGCAGTTCAGACTGCAGCGGGGGAGCGGCAGACACATCCCGGACCCGCCCAGACCAAGGGAGCCCCCAGAAGAGATGGGAACTCCCCCGGCACTGAGGGAGCTCCCAACAGCAGCTGACAGAGACGATCCCACAGCGGTGCTCTGAGGGAAAGAGGTGAGGATGGGGCCCGGCAGGGTCACCACCACCGGCGAGGGCTCGATGAACACAGTCGAGTCAGCGCAGCGGGCGACACAGGGCTCACTGCAGCTGCTTGCAAGTGGGGTTGGGCCAGAGGCACAGCAGGGCCGTGGGGGACAGGGTCTGAAGCAAGACATCTCTCGGTGAAGGAAGCAAAGCTGCAACACAGAGCAGGAAGGAAACACAGACCAAAACATCAACTTGGCTCTCATGTCCACAGCTCTCTCTGCAGATACACTTGGCTGCTCTCCATCCCCATTCGATCCCCACATGCAGAAAATGCCTGCACCTGATCTTTCTAACACACACAACGTACGTGATATATCCCCCTAAGGTTGGATTTGAAGCACTGGGAGCAAAGAAGTGCCTAACTGGCTGCTGATTGCACCAGGACCTCCTACTGCATTTCCCAGTACAATAGCACAGATGAAGATTGATGCAAGTATCCCAGCACAAATGGGCTGCGTTGAATGGGTGTCTCAGAAATCACCTCTTAAACACACACAGTCTTCCTACAGCTTGTAATGCACTCCTCTGAGTTGCACAGTGCAGGAACGCTGACCCACTTTAGGATAGGATCAAGCACAGTGGGTTTAAAGCACCTGAGCATTACCCATGTCCAGAACAACAGTTGTTGCATTGATGAAGCACTTGGCCATTTGATTAGAGAGCATCTGCTGCAGGCGTAAGTTCTGGTGAGGCAGACACCCCTACAGCTGAACCCCATTGATACCCTTCTGCTTGAAAGAACACCCTCTTCCCATTTTTCTGCAGCCACGTCCAGCAAAAGGGACAGAGGTGACAGCCCTTCAACTGTTCAATTGCAGGGACAACCTGAGGTAGAGAAATATCATCCTGAGTGGCCACCATGGCAGCAGTTCAACCCACGGAGAGAGACATTGAGCAGACCCAGACTTACCTCGTTCCTCGAGGAAAGTGAAGCAAGAGAGGAGGATGCAGAGCCTGGAGCAGCGCAGGCTTTTATGCTGTGTCCCAGAGCCCTGTGGGGCCACAAACATTCCTTGCTCATGAAGCATCTGAACACCTAGGAGTTTCCGCTTCCCAAGGCTTCCCTGGTGATTAAGCCCTCGCTTCTTACAACCCACATATTGTCCTCTTTTTCATACCATCGAACACCAAAACCATTCTTCTGTATCCTAGGTTCATAAAGTCAATTACCTCTGAATTCTTACGCAGGATAGACAGATATTTTTAGTTGACTTGCCTCATACAAATCCCTTTGGTCTCATTGCCCTCTTCGTGGTTAACTTGTCCACGTGTCATGGTTAAATTCAACCATACAGGGCACCTCAAGTCTTCTCTCAAATGCTTTCTTTGCAGGCACTCAGTCTAAAACCAGAGGGACAATTCTCTTCCTGGGTGATCGTAGACACACAGGAGGCAGTGGGTAAGTTCAGGCAAAAATTCAAGACTGCACAAATCCCATATGGGAGGAGAGACGCACGACTCCAGGGATGTGGCAAAGCTCAATGTCAAGGAAAGACCACTGTGAGGTGGAGGGAAGCCCCCTGTGGGCAGGGGTGATGATGGCCACAGGGACCTTGTTTACACTCATCAGGCTCTACCACAGACTGGTTTTGTGATCAAAGACTTGCCCGCGTCCTTCCCTGAAGGAGACCCACACCCAAATTGACCCGTTTGTCTCTGTAAGGTCATCCCAGAGGACGGAGGTGTGGCTTGCCTGATTAGGAGGAGAGGTGAACGGCAGGGAATGAAAACCTCATGGCCCTTTTTCCTGATTCAGAGAGGGGGTGGCCAATTCCATGCATTTCATGCTACAAAGGCACATTGGATGAGTCTCAGAGCACCTGGGAGTCATCATGATGTGGAAGAGTTGGGAAAATCCCAGAGCTGCTGGCAAGCATGACTCACCCTGCTTTCGACGTCAGTGGACATGGTCGCCCAGCCTCAGTTGTGCCAGTGATACCAGAACTCATAGTCCCAATTTGTAGCTTTCTGTAAGGAACAACATTTTAGCACCATTTCTGAATCAACTGGTGCTTCTGTGCAACCTCGTGCAGCTTCTGCCTTCTAAGGCATTGCCTGCCAGTGGCTGCTCAGGGACCCACGAGAGTGAGTGCAGCCCAGAATGATGTGGGATGGATGGTTCTTCTGGAATGGCTCTGGGACAACCTCCTGCTCTGAGCAGACCAAGCTTAATGTTAAGTTAATCAAGGGATATGGCGATGGAGATCCCATGGAGACATTACCTGAAAGAGACCTGCCTGATCCTCTGGTCTGCTCCCTGTCGTTACAAATGTGCCTTCATTCCCTGGACACGTGGTCATAAAAAACAGGCTGTGGCAGAGCCTTTTGAGCGTGAGGAAGGTCCTCATGGCCCTCACTCCTACATGCAATGGGCTTTGCTCCAGCCCACAATGATCCTTTCTTGTCATTGAGCTTTTCCATATCCCTGAATTGGTGAGTCTCTTCTCTTGTATAGGATTGGGTAGTCTTGATCTTCCACCTCAACTTCTCAAGTCTCTACTGTGTGTCTACTATGACGCTTGGGCAGATGTCTCTTAGGGTTCGCTTGAGTGCCAGCACTGAAAACACTTCAGAGATAAATCGAGGTGTCCATCTTCGTAGCTATTTTTCAGCATGATTGGTGGACAAGCTCACCATGAAGAGGGCAAAGTGACAAAGGCAATCCATATGACACAACCTCACCTAAAATCTTCCTCCAGGCTACCCCGAGACCTTGGAGTTGATTGCGCTTATGAATCTGGGATACAGAGATACAGATGGATCATTTCAATATTAGGAAACATCACACTCACCAGGCCCTGATCTGATAGGAGAACTCAACCTCCAGGACATCTGCTGGCGAAGCGGCACAGCGAACTACAAGCAACCCAGGGAACTACTGGAATGTGTTGAGGACAACGTCCAAGTACATGTGACGCAGAGCCTGACCAGAGGAGAGGCACTGGTGGACGTGTTGTTTACTAGAGTGCAAGAGCAATCAGAGAGGTCAAGATTGGAGGTAGCCTGGGCTGCAGCAGTCACGCCCTGGTGGATTTCTCAGTTTTGAGGAGTGCAGGACAGGTAATAAGTAGAGTCAGGAACCTAAACCTCAGAAAGGCAAACGGTTGCCCGTTTAGGACACTAGTGCATGGTATCCCTCGGGAAACTACCCTCAGAGGTATAGGAGCAAACCAGAGCTGGGAGATACTGAAAGACATTTTTCTGAGGGAGCAAGAGCTCTCAATCCCGACATGCAAGAAGTCGGGCAGGGAAGGCAGGAGGCCAGCTTGGTAACATCAAGACCTCTCAGAAAAATAAAACACAAAACCAAAAGGAATAGGCAGCAGAGGCAGGGATAGACATTGTGGGGAGATTATAGGCAAATGGCCTTGAAGTGCAAGGAGGATATCGGGAAGTCCAAGGCATTTCTGGAGCTGAACTTGGCTAGCGGTGTGAAAAGTAACAAGAAGGGTTTCTTCAGTTACATAGGAGAACAAAGGAAGAGGAAAGAACCTGTACCTCGTCAATGAGTGAAATGGTGAGACACTGAAACAGGATGTCCAGAGCAGTTGTGGATGCCCCCTCCCTGGAAGTGTTTAATGCCAAATTAGATGAAGCTTTGAGTAACCTGGTCCAGTGGAAGGTGTCCGTGCCCATGGTAGGAGAGTCAGAATTACATGTTCTGAAAGGTCCCATCCAGCTCAAAGTGTTCCATAACGCGCTCTTTGATGCTAGTTGGAATCAAGTCAGAGAAAAGAATTTCAGATGAAAGAGGTAAAGGTTTAATCACCAGCAAGGTCTTCCCAAGTGGCAGCTGCTACGTGTTTACATGCCTCATGAGCAAGGAATGTTTGTGGCCCCACAGGGCTCTGGGACACAGCATAAAAGCCTGCGCTGCTCCAGGCTCTGCATCCTCCTCTCTTGCTTCCCTTTCCTCGAGGAACGAGGTAAGTCTGGGTCTGCTCCATGTCTCTCTCTGTACGCAGAATTGCTGCCATGGTGGCGTCTCAGGTTGATATTTCTCCGCGTCACCTTGGCAGTGCAATTGAACAGTTGAAGGGCTGTCACCTCTGTCCCTTTTGCTGGATGTGGCTGCTGGACAAATGGGACGGAGGGTGTTCTTTCAAGCAGAAGGGTATCAATGGGGCTCAGCTGTAGGGGTGTCTGCCTAACCAGAATTTACAACTGACAGCAGATGCTCTCTAACCTAATGGCCAAGTGCCTTCATCAATGCAACAACAGTTGTTCTGGAGATGGGGTATGCTCAGGTGCTTTAAACCGACTGGGCTTGGTCCTATCCCAAAGTGGGTCAGCGTTCCTGCACTGTGCAACTCAGAGGAGTGCATTACGAGCTGTAGGAAGACTGTGTGTGTTTAAGAGGTGATTTCTGAGACACCCATTCAACGCAGCCCATTTCTGCTGAGATACTTGCATCAGTCTTCGTCTGTGCTATTCTACTGGGAAATGGAGTAGGAGGTCCTGGTGCAATCAGCAGCCAGTTAGGCACATCTTTGCTCCCAGTGCTTCAAATCCAACATAGGGTGATACGTCACGCACGTTGTGTGTGTTAGAAAGATCAGGTGCAGGCATTTCCTGCACCTGCAGCTAGAAATGGAGATGGAGAGCAGCCAAGTGTATCTGCAGAGAGAGCTGTGGACATGAGAGCCAAGTTGATGTTTTGGTCTGTGTTTCCTTCCTGCTCTGTGTTGCAGCTTTGCTTCCTTCACGGAGAGATGTCTTGCTTCAGACCCTGTCCCCCACAGCCCTGCTGTGCCTCTGGCCCAACCCCACTTGCAAGCAGCTGCAGTGAGCCCTGTGTCGCCCGCTGCGCTGACTCGACGGTGTTCATCGAACCCTCGCCGGTGGTGGTGACCCTGCCGGGCCCCATCCTCAACTCTTTCCCTCAGAGCACGGCTGTGGGATCGTCTCTGTCAGCTGCTGTTGGGAGCTCCCTCAGTGCCAGTGGAGTTCCCATCTCTTCTGGGGGCTCCCTTGGTCTGGGCGGGTCCGGGATGTGTCTGCCTGTCCCCCGCTGCAGTCTGAACTGCTGAAGCTGGTGGCTCATCCCCTTGGGAGCAGGACGGAAGACGGGACCCTGCAGCAGCAGGTCATGGACATGTCTTGCAGACAGTCTGAATGTCTTCATGCCACCTGGCAGGAGGGACCTGTGCCCACTTCTCCTCGCTGCACGGCTGGCGTGGCCGTGTCTCCTCTGGCTCTCCTTTGCTTTGAGCCCTCTGGAATGGGCTCCTTTCTCTTCTGCTTTGCTGAACCCCTGCTGAAAGGGAGAGGATTCTGGAGTTAGGGACCGCTCTTGGTGCGCTGCCATTGCTACCAGGGAGAGCAGAATGGGAAAAGGCAAGCTCTTTGTATGCAGCTTGTCCTTGGGGAACGGGCCATCCTCTGTGCTTCCCTCAATCCTGCAGATGTTTTCCTTGGTCTCTGTTCTGTTCCACTGCATTTCCCCCCTTCTCATTAAAGACTTTGTGCAGCAGAGCTAGAGAGTCATGGCAGTTTGTTCTTCTCCTCTCCCAGCTAAGCATCTTCTCTGCAAGGATAGGCTATGGCTTCTGTCCTGAGCTTAACAGTGGTTGTTGGTTAAGTTCCCTGGACTCATTTCAGAGCACTAAAAAGCCTTGTAGGTATTGAATATGGGCCTGTAACCTGGTGATTATGGCCCTGGGGGTCATTTGCGGAATTCTCCATTGTAAAATTTAATACGTATATTTTGAAATAGCATTTCGGTTCTCTCAATTATTGTTCACAAAATCGTATGAAAAAGAGACCTGGCAATTCTCTCTTTTACTATTTTGGTGTGGGAATAAACATCCAGGGGATGGGTATGGAGTGGAAAGGAGGAAAGCACTGGTTGTGATCTCCAGACGGAGGCAGTGTGACTGCCAGATGAGGTTCGTGTGGGCATTTCAGCAGAGAATGAACATACACATTCACGATGCCCCTCTTCACAATTCCAGCAATTTGTAGCACTGCTCCTGACAGAGTGGGAGTCTGGAAATACTGTGCTAACACAAACCCTCCATAGAGGCCCACCATCCAGAATGGTTTCTGGCTATCAGCAGAGCAAGGAAGGCGGCTTGTTTCTTTAAGAAACCCTGTAATCAGAGAGTTGGGAAGCTTCACTCCCTTCCAGTAGAGTCTAGCTGAGAGAGGCTCTTGCTTTTCTCTTGGTCCACAGGCCACAAGCTGCAAGAGAAGAGTGTATTATTTCTCTGGTCACTAGGATCATCGTTACACCAAATCCCAGTAAAATTCAGGATGTATCTGCAATGTCAGAGCCTGGACAGGGTAGGTCAGTGTCCCCAGGGTGAGTTCAGACAGACAGACGGGCCTTTGAGCCATAATGTAAAGAGGAGTTCTGCTTCCACCAGCCAGCCAAATCGCATACCTGGCCTCATGAAGCACGGTCTGTCCCGTGACCATCACCTAGGAATTACTGATCTTCATCTGCACCCTGCCAGGTGCAAGCAGCCACAGCAGCAGCAGGACCAGCTCTGTGTCAGGCCAGAAAAGCCTCTCTCCTGGCTCCTGTACCAGCACTGCCATGAGGAGCCCAGCTTGAATCTCTCCCAGCCAGCAGAGACTAGAGAGCACTGGTCTCAGCGGGCCTCAAGGCTGCAGGGAAGACAGGGGATTGGCTTGAAACCCCAGGGGAAAGATGGGTGGTATTTGAGCAAAAGAGCTTGTGTGCAGGATATGTTCAGGCACCTGTGCTGGAGCCAGGCTGGAGAGACATTTGCCAGTATTGGCCAGGAATCAAAGCCAGGTCAACTGCTTGGAAGGCAGCCATGGTCACCACTATTCCAGCAACACTCCTGGGGGCACTGGTTCCTCCTGCTCCTCCAGGTCAGAGCCTGGACGGCCTCCTGCTCCTCCACTTCACAGACTGGCCGCATCCCTATTTCAGCCCTCAGCACACACAGTTCCTCAAGATGCTCCTCACGTTCCCCTCTTGACTGCAACCACCTCTCGTCCTTGCTCTGCATGCAGAGAGGCACTGCCACAAGTACCATCTCCACACAGAGTTCTTACAACCACTTTCCAAATATCCCTGCTCCACAGCCAAAAGGCAATAGGGGCTACTTTCATCTAATGCTGGAAATTATTGTTTTGTGGATGTTTAAAATTTTGGTCCATGCTCAGGAATATGGCAATGCATGCTGTTTTGCCAATTGACGGGGTTAACACAAAGGACGCAGACACCAAGCTAAAGAAATAGGCTTATTTTACTTTAGTTTAAAATAGCAGAAAGAATAAGCAAGGTAATGCACCTAGACATTACTATTTAAAGCTAGCTATAGTGATTAAGAAAGATACATCACCAATTGCCCTCATACTTTACCATCATCCAGATCCGTGCATCAGTAGAGGAGCCCCCGTCACAGCGAAGGGTCGGAGAGCCTTTCCCGGCAATTGGGAAGTCCTACGCAGTGCGTCCACTCGTTAGGTGAGGTCTCCATCTTTGCTGTGAGAGGGTCCAGCTTTTATACAGTTTAACAAACAAGTCTAAACAAAACGCACAGGAGATATCTGGTAGATTGATATGCCTCACTCAGGCATGTCCGGATCTGGCCAGGATCCGGGCATGTCTGAGGAGTTTCTGTTTTTCTTTACATTTGGGATTTATAGTTACTTCCTATTGTTTACTTATAGTTCCCAGGGATTGTTCCCAGGGTTATATTTTCATGCTGATAAGATGCCAGTTGTTTCAGTCTGCTGATAAGGTGCTGATTGCTGGTCGGGGAATTCACTCAGAAGTCAACTTTGGTTTGAGGCTTATTGTTTGGGCCCCTTTTTGTTTCACATGCCGGGGCAGGGAAAAAAAAAAAAAACCAACAAAAACAAAACCAAAAAAACTGGACATGCCTATTACACCAAAGCAAGCTCTCTCCTATCTCCCTACAAGTCATTCACACCTCACATTTACGCTCACTATACCTTTCTTCTCACCTTTTTGGAGGTGCTGCTGGGAGATCGCCATTTTCCCCTAACTAGTGCTCCAACCGTACTGCTCACTGCAGGATTGGAGTGTCTCTCAGATAATTTTGTAATCAAAGGTAGGGGTTAATAGCCCACTCCACATTTACTAATGTGCTTGGTTATAGCTACAGAGCTGCCTTCCCTTCTTCCCTGGAAGCAGCAGGGATGCCAGCTGGAGAGTGAACCCATCCACCCCATGTCAGGATATCCCAGATGCCCAGCTGAGGACAAGGCACTGGGATCTAAAGCCACCGTCCCTGTGGTTAAACCTCCAAAGGCTTCTGGAAAGCTGGTACCTCCCATGCTTCGTGCAGGTGTGAACCACGGGGCTTCTAGTGAAGCCTGGACGAAAAACTCCTGGGGAGGCGGGTGTCACTGCACAGGGCATGTGCTCAGCAGGGCAGAGATGTCTGCGGCAGGTAGTTGTGGCCGAGTGGTGAAGACGATGGACTAGAAATCCATTGGGTTTTTCCTGCACAAGTTTGAATCCTGCCAACTACGGGGTGCAGTCCTGCTTTGGGCTGCCTGCAAGAACCACGCTGCAGCTGAGGAACTTGAAACCCCCTTGACTACAGCACTGCTAATGCAACTTCCTTAGCGGAATGCACACTGTCTAGGACAGTGACCTGAAGACACCCCCTAAACTGACTCTCAGTCACTGGGTATTCCACTGTCAATAGCTGCCAATTCCATGAGGGGCTTCCTTGCCTGATGTGCTTCTTGGCATATGGGTAGGGTTGGCCGGTCCTATCAGCCAATCACAGGTCTTCCTGAGAGGAGGTGGGCAAGGCGGGGCCAAGAACTGGCTGTTAGACTCTCACAGAGCAGTATGAAAACATCTTGGTTATGATGTGGAATAAGAAAATGGCATCTCCCTGCCACAAAATGGCAGCTGAAAGGAAATGGCAGCCCCCGTGTGTGCAGGGGAAAGTCCTTCCATGTCAGATGTACTTGCAGGGTTATGGGGAGGGGTGGCAGGTCCTGCCAGCCACTCACAACAGACCACATCACAGGGAGAGGGCACTGCCTTCAAGGGAAATTGTACACCTGGCTGTCTGCCAGGGACGGTTGAGGCCAAGGGGCCTATTTGGACCGAAGTGGAGGGCAGAGCACCCGGTCCGCCTTATCTGGGGTAAAAGTACTCCCTCTACTACTGACAGCCATCACTCCAAGTGATCAGTGATGTGGAGGTGAGGGATTTGCTGTGGGAAATATGGGATACGACCCAGTCTGGGCCAGTGGGCATGGGGATTCACCAAAGCAATCACCCACCACCCAACCCACTAGCTGCACAAGGCAGATTTTAGCTAAGAAATAGTAGAGTCCTGTGTCACAAGAATTCGCAGGTGGCCTGTGCTGACCGAGGAGAGAGCCTGGGACTCAAAGTATGGAATTACAAGAGCACATATGCAGGCATGTGCACGAGGTGTCCCGGCAAAAGTAGGGGCACCCGGAATTTAGTTTTGCAGGGAGTACTTACACCTTTCAAATGTTCAGGTACAACACAACTTGACTGACCAGCAAGACCCACATTACTCACAAGTTGCAACGGGCAATAATGCCAGCTGCCCTTCTGTGAAACGAAGTGACAGGGGGTGCGGTGTGTCCCTGGAAGAGCTGCCCAAGACATAGTGACCTCTCCGACAGTGACAGTATTCTTAAGTCAGTGGGACAAGGCACGGAGCCTGCTGAGGTAGCTGAGAAGTTTGGTTCGCTTGGAGCAGCGGACCAGAGCAAAGGGCTTGCAGTGGTTCTTTCCAACCGTCATTACTCTGGGGGGCACTGAGTCTCATGGGCCCTTGAGCAGCCACCAAAAGGCAATGCCTTGGAAGGCAGCAGCAGCACAAGATTGCACAGAAGCACCAGCCGTTTCATCAACAGTGCTAAAATATGTGGAAATTTCCTTGAGGAAAGTGGCGCTTTAGGACTATGAGCTCTGGTATCCCTGGCACATCTGAGGCTGGGCCACCATGTCCACTGAAGTCCAGAGCAGGGTGACTCATGTTTGCCTGCAGCTCTGGGTTTTTCCCAACTCCTCCACATCACGATGACTCCCAGGTGCTGTGGGAGACTGATGTGCGACGCCCGTTTGGAGATTGAAATGCATGGAACGTGCCGCCCCATCCCTGACCCAGGAAAAAGGGCCATGAGCTTTTGGCTCCCTGCCCTGAGCCTCTTCTGAAAAGCAGGCCATCCAGGCCTCTGGCTTCTAGGCTGACCGTGCTGAGCTAAACAGGTCATTTTGCCTGTGGGTTTATTTCACGGAAGGATGCACGCATCTCTTTGACCACACTCCTATGCCTCAATTTGCCTGTGTCCCACAGGTTCTCCACATCCCAAGATTACACCCGAGGACTGGTTGGAAGAATTGTGAAGGCCTTGTCATGTCATCCTAGGGACAGTGCTACTGAGATCCCAAGGAGAGATCGCTTGAGAGAGACCAGCCTCAATCTGTGGCCTACTCTTTCTCATTATGGATTTGCTATGGTCCCTGGCCT